TTAAATATTTGTGAGTGGCAAAAGTATGTGAATCTTTGCTTTCAGTATCTGGTGTGACCCCCTTTTGCAGCAAGAACTGCAGGTAACGTTTCTTGTAACTGCTGATCAGTTCTGCACAACGGCTTGTATTAGTTTTAGCCCATTGCTCAGTACAGAACCGCTTCAGCTCTGTGATGTTGCTGGGTTTCCTCCTGTGAACTGCTTGCTTCAGGTCCTTCCACAACATCTCAATTGAATTAAGGTCCAGACTTTGACTCAGTCATTCCAAAACATTAACTTTGTTCTTCTTTAGCCATTCTTTGGAAGAACGACTTGTGTGCTTGGGGTCGTTGTCTTGCTGCATGACCCACTTTCTCTTGAGCTTCAGTTCTCAGACAGATGTCCTGACATTTTCCTTCAGAATTTGCTGGTATAATTCAGAATTCATTGTTCCATCAATGATGGCAAACCATCCTGGACCAGATGCAGCAAAACAGGCTCAAACCATGAGATTACCACCAGCATGTTTCACAGATGGGATAAGGTTCTTATGCTGGGATGCAGGGTTTTCTTTCTCCAAACATAACGCTGCTCATTTAAACCAAAATGTTCTATTTTGGTCTCATCCATCCACACAACATTTCTCCAGAATTCCTCTGGCTTGTCCACGTGATCTTTAGCAAGCTGCAGATGGGCAGCGATGTTCTTTTTGGAGAGCAGAGGCTTTCTTCTTGCGACTCTGCCATGCACACACCGTGATTGTTCAGTGTTCTCCTGATGATGGACTCATAAACATTACCATCAGCCAATGTGAGAAAGGCTTTTAGTTACTTAGAAGTTAGCCTGCAGTCCTTTGAAACCTAGTGGACTTTTACTCGTCTTGCTTTTAGAGTGTTCCTTGTTGGTGGAGCACTCTTGGGGAGGGTAACAGTGGACTTGAATTTCCTGCATTTGTACACAATCTGTCTGACCGTGGACTGGTGGAGTCCAAACTCTTTAGAGATGGCTTTGAAACCTTTTCTAGCTTGATGAGCAACAGCAACTCTTTTTCCGAGGTCCTCAGAGATCTCATTATATAACATATCAAATAAAAACTATAATATAAAATAAAAACTGCTTATTTCATTACTTTTGTTTTTCATTTTTTTAAGAAAGCTGATTTTTTTATATTTTAATAAAAGCTCAAATTAATTAAAAAAATGAAAAGAGTGTCTATGAAGGGAAGAGGAATGTCTTACCAATAATCAAGAATTTCATTATGATAGTATCTGTATCATAAACTGTCTAAGAACTAAGAAAGCTGTTTTTAAATACTTTAATAACATTTCTATATAATATACATCTACACTAATCACACAAAGAAGTGATTTTTGTGTCAGATGTCTAAGTTGTCTGTCTGAACTGTCGACACAATACATGATTATCTATATGAGCTGATTATATGATACATATATCAAAACAACCCACCTGTATTTTGAGCAATAATACAATTATCAAATTATTTATATCATTTCGCACTATAAACTAATAATAAAACACATGATTATGACAACATTATCAATTCCGCTAACATATCAGCCCGGCATATGCAGAGATGGTCTTACTATCGCTCATTATTACGATCATATTATACACAGATAAGTGTACATGTGTCTATGCAGCATGGCTAGCGGACGTGATGTAAACACATGGGCGGGGCTTCCGCTCCCACCGGAAGTCAGGCGAGCGAAAAAAATCCATCTGTTTAGCTTGAAGAGAAATGGAACAAAAACAGTGATTCCTTTATTATTCGGGTATGAACACGTTATTGAATTCATTTATTAAAACGGATAGATTCTGATTTAGAATCCGTGTCTGATTGTAAAAGTAACCGATAGAATGGAAAATGTGTTTATTTTGTTATAAGTGCAGGGCAAGGGAGCCTAACAGTTCAGCTTTGATCAGTTAGCGTGACTGTCCCAGATGGAGACTGTTGAATTATCATCTCTTTTGATTAAATGCGTGCCTCTTAATTGTGTCAGTGATACTAAGTGACCTGTCAAGAGTGTTTCTTTACTGTATGTGATGTTAGGAAGCTACATGCTAAAGCTAAGCTGTCAAAACACATGCATGTAAACACGAGCTGGCTGTCTGCGTGTACTGTACTGTAATGAACGGTTTCTAGGGAAGATATTGGTAAGCGTTATTGTCGTATTAATCTGTTTGAACCTGTGTCTAGAGTTGCGTTTGTAAGCTATGGCTCAGACTGAGAAGAAAGCAGGTCTGCTGAGGAGAACATCCTCTTCGAAGAAGCCTCTGAAGGAGAAAGTGGTGCTGATGTACGATGAGATATTTGCAGTAAGTCAGTATTTGGGTTTTCACGATGTTCAGAGTGTGATATCATTAGGGCTGCAACTAACTATTAATCGGTTGGTTATTGCTTTGATTAATCAGATTTAAAAAAATCAAGATTTCACTCGCGCACACACTCACTTACACACTCACTCACACACTCTCACACACACCACTCACGCTCACACACACTCACACACACACACACTCTCACTCACACACTCTCACACACACCACTCACGCTCACACACACTCACGCTCACACACACACTCTCACTCAAGATTCACGCACACACTCACTTACACTCACTTACACACCACTCACTCACACTCGCGCACGCACGCACGCACACACTCACACACCACACACGCTCACGCACCATTAGGGCTGCAACTAACTATTAATCGGTTGGTTATTGCTTTGATGAATCAGATTTTTAAAAATCAAGATTTCACACACGCACACACACACACAGCTGTAAACTCAGAGTTGCAAGATATAAAATATTCAGAGGAGAGAAAAAAATCTGAATTTTGAGTTAATTCAAAATCTCAGAATTGTGCAGAAAAAAAAGTGAAATAAAAAGTCACTTCTTTGTTTTTTTAAATCACATGGCGGAAATGGGCTTCCATATACAGATGCGTTTTGTCAGTGGAAATGCGTTATTCACTGCTGTAAAGTGACGTGGCTGGACAGGTTTTTCATTGCACAGCACACAAACGCAATTAATCGATTATTAATTAAAAATTAAAAAAAGGCTAATTATCGATTAATGTAATTTATTTTCATTGTTGATTAGTTGTTGCAGCCCCAGACATTATTACAAGTTCTCATATGGAAATGTTTTTAAATGTAATGTTGCTGCAGATATACTGTAGGTTGTAATCACTTTTTCTTTTCTTTTTTTCCCTCTTTCAGAAGGAAGACCCTACCAAGCACAATCCTCGCTTCTGGGATGAGCTGTTTCTGATGAAGGTTGCTGGCAGATACACATCCTGAAATACGTTTTGTACTGGAGTCATTTCTGTGGAGCTGTTTTATCAATAAGTGGGCAGTATTGTTGATCTTTCTCTGTGCTTTGAGCAGGTCAATCTGGAGTATCTGGAGGGGAAGTTGGAGTCTCTGGATGGGGATGAAGTCATGAAAATCAAAGACAACATCAACAGTTTGTTCCATCACTGTGTTCAAGCTCTGGGTGAAGAGCACCAGATCAAAGTAGTCAATGCGCTGCAGGTAAAATCATGCTTACTGCATTTATAAGGAACATCTTCATAATTCACATAATCAAATCATGCTACAAATAATTGGTAATGTTTCACCGCAGAATATTTAGTATAAAGAAAATGAGCCATTAAAACATTTTGTATTTCTTTTATTTTTATGTCCGTTACAAATATTTTTGCCTTCAAATGCTCATTAATATAAAAAAAATCTAATTCTTATCACTGCAATTTGAAAAAAATAATGATGCATAATGTGAATGTTTAAGTATTTATACATGATGGTAGAACTTCTTATACTTATTTTTTTAATTATTGTGTCTGTGTAGTAAAAAAATGTGTTTAGAGTATTGGAAGTCTACGAATCTAATAAGGTTAACCATTGATAATAATGGGAATTACAACTCGAACCCTAAAATCCATGCACTTAATTAATTAATTTTTACTTTATGGTAATGATAATTACGGAGTAAAATGTACTTGGTTGTCATAAAATTACAAAATATAATAATAGTGTAAAAAATACACTACCATTCAAAAATTTGAGGCCAGTAAGGTTTTTAAAGGGGTCCTATTATGCTTTTTCACTTTTTTAATTTTAGTCAGTGTGTAGTGTGTGTATGTTTGGGCATAAAAACGATCTAGAAAGTTACAAATCTCAAAGTCCACTCCAAAGGGAGATATTTCGTTTTTTAAAAATCCATTTTCAAGAACTACAGCAAACGGCTCGTTTGGACTACAGCGTTTGGTTTCCGGGCTTTGTGATATCACAAAGTGGCTCATTAGAATTTCATTACAAAGAATTCCCGCCTACAGAAATTCGAATGGTTGGGGGGTGGGGAGGGGCGAGGTTGTGGTTAGAACGCTTGGTTGAGTGACTGCATCAGACGAGACGACGAAGAAGAAGTGCTGCTGCCACAGTTCATGCAAGCTCACTTCTAACGAGATGATGATCTGAATCAGGTGTGTTAACAGAGAGACGTGCAAAATGTGCAGAACTGGGGTACGTGAGGACTGGAATTGAGAACTGCTGGTCTAGAACAATACTTACAAGTACAACACGACGTAGCTGGGCGCCACGGACAGACACCGAATGGCGCCGCCGGTATGCCTACACTCATAGAAAATAATGTGTTCGAATTTTAAAGGCGTGGCGCAATGCTGCGCTTCTCGTCCGGTGCGCGACCACCTGAAACGCTGTTTTTTTCACTTTCGAAAGTGGATGATGTCAGGAAAGAGTGGTTGCAATTTACTTTTTAACTCTGTTCCTGAGCATTATAACACCAATTTCCTGTGTGCTGCCCATTTTACTGAGGACAGCTTCCACATCACAAGTGAGAAGTGCCGGATTCGCCAAAAGCTTTTGTTGAAAGACGGCGCAAGGGGGCGTGGCAGTACTGAAACACCGTCTAAGCTGTTCGCCAATCACAACGCACTGGGACAGCTAACCAATCACATCACATTTTGTTTTTCGGAAGGCGGACCTTCATCAAAGCCGGAACTAATCGAGCTGTTTGTGCCAGCCTGGGGAGAAAGGTATTTTAATAATGTAAATTATGTGAAAAATAATGCGTTTTTCGAACCACCAAGCATGAGAGCATGTTCTAGTACACCCCCAAAACAAAATCAAGACTTTGTAAAAGAGCATAATAGGACCCCTTTAAAGAAATGACTACCTTTGTTTAGCAAGGACACATTAAATGAATCAAGTTACAGTAAAGACATTTATAATGTTGCAGAAGATTTCTGTCTCAAATGAATGCTGAAAAACGTTTAACGTTTTGAACATTGATAATAATTAGAAATGTTTCTTGAGCAGCATATTAGAATTATTTCTGAAGATCATGTGACACTGAAGACTGGAGTAATGATGCTGAAAATTCAGCTTTGATCACAGGAATAAATTACATATTCAGTTAGAAAGCACTTATTTAAAAAAAATATATATATTTCACAATAATACTGTTTTTACATGTATTTTTTATGTGTATTTGATCAAATAAATGCAGCCTTGGTGAGCAGACGAGACGTCTTTCAAAAAGCTTAAAAAATCTTACAGACCCCAAACTTTTGAACAGCAGTGGAAGTTTCGTTTTCTTTACACACTATTATTTGTACAATTATTTTTTGGCTTAAACATGCTTTAAAACATTCAATTGGAAACGAAGTTGTGAAGTCAGCTTTTGTGTTTGCAGACGCACCCTGCGTTCAGTTACTGGTTGGCATTCTGAAAATCTAACAGTTGCTTTTGACCCAAAGATCTGAATGAAAAGTACTACAAAGACAAGAAAAGCTCACCAGTCTCCTCCTGTCTGTCTCTGTAGACTCTCTGTGCACTGTTTCGAGGAGTTCACCAGAAGAACAAGTCTGCCACAGGCTTTGACATCATCAACATGCTGATGGGCTTCGACAAAGCTGAGCTCCGAATGAAGGTCAGTTGTTTGTCCCGCTCACACAAGATCTGGATGTTTTGATTGAATGCAAATTTGAGTTCTAATGTAATTGTGCACACAGGAGCTAATGGAGAGCCTGGACAGTCTGCTGTGCGGTGATGGATCGGAGAGTCTGAAGAGTTTGTGTCTAAAACTACTGCTGTGTCTGGTCACTGTAAGATCAACACATCCATTCTTCTGCACTCTTTTGGTTAAAATCTGGTCACTTTCATTTTCACTCCATAGTAAATCGTTCTACTTGCCCCTTAGTTTGTAAAAGAAATAAAAAAATCTGTCCATTTACAATGGAAGTCATATGGGGCAAGGAATGGCACCAAAAATAGACGTTAAAATATGAACGATTTAAAAATTATAGTAACAAAACTTAAAGGAATAGTTCATCCAAAAATGAAAATGCGCTGACAGTTTACTCACCTTCAGGCCAACCAAGATTAGGATGAGTTTGTTTCTTCATCAGATTTGGAGAAATGTAGCATTGCACCATTGTCTCACCAATGAATGCTCTGCAGTGAATGGGTGCCGTCAGAATGAGAGTCCAAACAGCTGATAAAAACATCACAATAATCCACAAGTAATCCACACCACTCCAGTCCACCAGTTAATGTCTTGAGAAGCGAAAAGCTGCATGTCTGTAAGAAACAAATCCATCATTAAGATGTTTTTAACTTTAAACAGTCGTTTTCCGGCTTAAATATAAGTCCTCTATTCATAATATTGCTTCATCCAGTGAAAAAGTCGACTCATCTGAATCAGGAGAGAAATCTGCGCAGATCAAGCACCGTTTACAGGTGAAAACAGTCCAAAACGGCTCTAAACAAATATGTGGGTGGATTTTGATGTGAGGAGATGGACTTTATCACTGGAGGAAGCATTATTGGATTAGGGATGCATATTTTAGTTGGAAGCAATGGTTTAAAGTTAGTGTCTTAATGATGGATTTGTTTCTTACAAACACGCAGCTTTTCTCTTCACAAGACATTAACTGTTGGACTGGAGTGGTGTGGATTATTGTGATGTTTTTATCAGCTGTTTGGACTCTCATTCTGACGGCACCCATTCACTGCAGAGCATCCATTGGTGAGCAAGTGATGCAATGCTACATTTCTACAAATCTGATGAAGAAACAAACTCATCCTAATCTTTGATGGCCTGAGGGTGAGTAAACTGTCAGCGCATTTTCAGTTTTGGGTGAACTATTCCTTTAAAAATTAGATGTTCACATGGCACTATTGTGATTATATCCTTTTTTGCTGCTTTGAAATCCTCTGGTATACTCGGCCCATAGATGTCCATTGCTGTAAATGCTATTTTTGTTTATTTCTGATGTTTTTCTGACGTGGTTATAATGTGTTTTTTTTTATTTCAGGTGACCGATAATATTAGTCAGAACACCATTCTGGAGTATGTGATGATCAACAGTATATTTGAGGCCATTCTACAGGTAAGACTGTGATTGGGTGTATTATGTGTGGCGTGATTTTTTCGATCTTGCCAGTGCATTATAATGTCGTCCATTTCATTCGCCTCTTTTTGTCCAGATTCTTTCTGACGTTTCCAGTCGAGCGCAGCATGGATATGATGCTGTGGTACTATTAGCTCTGCTGGTCAACTACAGGAAGTATGAGGTAAATGCACAGTAAAAACTTTAAGTCACTATTTCTAAATGCAAAATAAGCACATTGATGTTTGTACTAATATAATATGGCATTCTAGCAGTTCTAGTCATGAAGCTTTGTTTGTAACACTTCTGTGAGATTCATTGTTTCCTCTGTTAATTGTAGTCTGTGAATCCTTACATTGTGAAACTGTCGATAGTGGACGACGAGCCGACCCTGGATGTGAGTGATTAGGGAGATTCTTGAAATTCAAGATATTATTGAGTCACATGGAGGTCTAATATAGTTGATCTTTTCATAGGGCATGGGAATGGTCATCCACCACGCACTTACAGAGTACAATAGGTAACGTGCAATCTTTGTTGTTTTGTTTTTAAGAAACGTCTATGTGAAAGATTTCATGTGTCCCATCTGATTTCCACAGGCAGTATAAAGACAAAGAAGAAGAAAACCAGGGAGGCTTTTTTTCCACCCTTTCCAGCATGGTATGAAACCTTTCCACTCTAAATGAAAATGCTGTCCTCATTTATTAATTTCTTTCCAAACCTGCTTGACTTTTTGTTTCTGTGGAGCACAAAAAGAAATTTCGCAGAATGTTCATGCTGCTCTTTTCCATACAATGAAAATGAATTCGCAACTACAGATTTATAATAATAATGCTTTGGTCTGCAGGTGGGCAGTATGTTTATCGCTGATGCAGATGAGAAGCTGTCAGTACAGTAAGTAAAAACTAAACTATTTTATTTTAATCGGTGAACACAAAGCACCTAAATTGCATTTTAAATCAAATTAAAAATGCACCCACCGTACAAAAGTTTGGGGTCGTAAAGATTTTTAAAAATGTTTTTAAAAGAAGTCTCTTCTGTTCACAAAGGCTGCATTTATCTGATGAAAAATACGGTAAAAATTGTAATATTTTGAAATACTATTACAATTTCACAACTGTTTTCTATTTGAATATATTTTAAAATGTAATTTATTCCTGAATTTTCAGCAGCCATTAATCCAGTCTTTAATTTCACATGATGCTTTAGAAATTTAATGTTGTTAAGCATAAAATCTAAAGACAAAATAAGAAAATATATGTAGAAATGATTTGTGTAGAGAAAATGAAATTTACACTAATGTTCAAAAGTTTGGGGTCGTAAAGATTTGAAGGTTTTTGAAAGAAGTCTCTTCTGCTCACCAAGGCTGCATTTATTTGACAATACAGTAAAAACACTTAATATTGTAAAATATTATTACAATTTAAAGGGGTCATATGATGCTTTTTTAAAGAGCATTATTTTGTGTATTTGGTGTAACAGAATATGTTGACATGCTTTAATGTTCAAAAAACACATTATTTTTCAAATACTGTACATTATTGTAGGTCCTCTATGCCCGCCTCTCTTAAACACTTCGTTTTCTACAAAGTCCCTCCTTCCGACAAGCGCAGTCTGCTCTGATTGGCCAGCTGACCCAGTGCATTGTGATTGGCCGAACACCGCAAGCACTCATCGGAAATGTAACACCCCTTACCATAATCGCGAGCTTCATCTTTCAAAATAAATGTAAAGACAGTAAATAATGTCATTAGTTTTACCAGTTCAAGCCCGAAAGGGGTACAGACACAGTGATGATGCAGTACACAAGCTGCGGTTAAGACAGCTGACTCTTGACACTTTGATGTGACGCTCTCTCTCTCTCTCTCTCTCACAAACACACACACACGATGCGCAAAACTCCGCATTTGAACAGTCAATAGCAAATACTTAAACTAATAACAAAACAGTAGCTGATTCAGAAGCGCCATATTGTCATAGCAAAGTCAGAATTACCTCCTCTCCTAGGTTCACGAAACGGTCATCCATAAAATGCATTGCTGTTCTGTTGTAAGTGATCTTAAAGATTCCTAAATGCATCTACTTTCGGAAGGCCAAATAAAGTGCTTTTGCTTTCGCCTAGAAACACACAGCGTCTCCCTGACATGCTGCTTCAACACTAACTGCGGTTACTGAAACCACGCCTTCTTTCTTTGCGTGCACATTTGGGCGCATTATGCAAATATTCCCACATAGTGACCTAGATATGTGGGGGCGTGTTAGAACGAGCCGTTTTAGGGGGGCGTGGCAGAGTCTTAACTTTGATAAAGAATATCTCTTTGGTTTTGAGACTTTAGTCTTTGCAACGTCAGGGATCTTATCTATGCACAATCAGCTTGTAACACTCCAAAGAGAAAGGAAAACTTGAAATCGCATCATATGACCCCTTTAAAATAAGCATATTTTAAAATGTAATTTATTCCTGTGATCAAAGTTGTATTTTCAGCATCATTACTCCAGCCTTTAGTGTCACATGATCCTTCAGAAATCATTCTAATATGCTGATTTGCTGCTCAATTATTATCAATTATTATTGGTGCTCAATTTTTAATAATGGTACTTATAGATATCAATGTTGGAAACTGTGACACATTTTTTCAGGATTTTTTGATGAATAGAAAGTTCAAAAGAGCAGGATTTATTTGAAACAGAAATACTTTGTAATGTTATAAAAGTAATTACTGTCACTTTTGATCAATTTAAATAAAAGTGCTAATTTCTTTCAAAAAAGTGAACTTTTGAACAGAAGTTGTATATTCATATTTAAAGGTCAGATCAGCCCCTTAAGTCTCCAGTACATGATGACAGTCATCAAATATTTAAATCTCCATTCTTGTATTATTAAATCAAATGCTCCACATGTCTGATGACTTTACTGTCCTTTAGGACTAATGAAGCCATCCTGCTCGCTCTGTATGAGGCCGTGCATCTCAACAGAAACTTCATCACGGTTCTTGCACAGGTCAACACTGCAGAATTATTTTTCTCTATTTTCTTTGCGCATTGACTTAATTTTAGGCTTGCATGTTCCAATGCTTTTATCATAAGGCCTATGCTATCTATACATTGAGGCTTATGGTTTACTTGTGAATCACAGAGCCATCCGGAGATTGACATGGCAACGACCCCGGCTACACCCGTCCCAGCCTCTCCTACGACCCCGCTAGGCACCACACCACCCTCTCTGGACAGTGAGCTGTGTTCAAATATCATTCACTCAGCCTCATGTCAAACCCACAGGACCTTCTTTCTTCTGCAAAACACAAAAGTAGATATCTTGATGCACCATATTTGAATCGAATACATTCAGCGGCTGTTTCTATAAAACAAACTACTAGGGCTGCGTTTGACACAAATTTCACGATTCGATTCTCATTCACAAGCTTGCGATTTGATTACCGATTCGATTCGATATTGATTATTTTGGATATATATAAGGTACAGTACATGACAAATTTTCTCAAGGAAAAAAAAATCTCTCAACTAATGCTGTAAAATATTAATGAGAGCCAGTTGGTACTACATTACTATAACATTGAAGGTTAAAATGTACTGATTTGTTAAAATTACACTTAATGAAGTTTTTAAAATAATAAAGTTACAATTACATAATAATATTTCTACTTCAGTTTTTTTATATAAACGTAATGGTGGCTGTCATAAAAATTTGATGGATTTATTCAAACATAAATATTGAAGAACAGTAAAATGTATAATGAATATGTTATATTGTGCATATATTTAGCAAAATGCCCCTCTCTACAGTTTATTTTTCTGACTAATGAGTTTATGGTCACCGAATATGTTTTTCTGAGGTAAATGTGACGTTACGTGACATTGTTTACAAGCCGTTATATTGACGTCTCTGTACGGATGAAACACTGAGCGATTACATGAGACAGGATAAGGATTGTAAAGTTGTACTCATTCTTTTAACTTACCTTCGGATGTTTAGTCATGTTTATTTTGTGCTGAAACTGGTATTAATGTGGAGGAGATGATCAGTTCACGTGCGCCTCGCGCTGCCACGTCTGTTGAACTGAGGCGCTCCAGCGATCTGTCACTTCACATTAAACAGTGCCAAAACTGCATTTATTGTTTGAATACTGCAATACAATGGACAGAATTTGAAATCTGAGATTTCTATTAAAAGTACCAAAGCGCAATGCTTATTGAGATTTATTGGACGGGAAGTGCCCTTCAACGGTTCCGTCCATTAACTGAAAACAGGCTAGGCTAATCGATTCTTGGGATTTAAGAATCAATATCGTTCCGTAAAAAAGAGAATCTATTAATATCGAGATATCGATATTTTTACCCAGCCCTACAAACTTCTATTAAATGGTCAGCGCAGTAACCAGAAGTGAGGGTTGTTTGCATAATGAAACGCTATGAGCTTTTTAAACCGCTGTTGTTCAGCAAATTACCCTCTGAATCGTACTTTTAGTCTGTTATAGTAGAGCCGACACCTCGCTTCCTTAAGCTTGACTCCACACTTACATTTGCCTCTAAAACACGTGTAAATTTTATGCTGCTTTTTGCATAGCAATCTTTTGAAAACTTGATATCCATTAGCCGTATGAAATATTAAATCCACTCGGATCTGGCAGCATGAAGCTCCTGTGGTGGATGTGGCGTGTTCTCCTGCTTGAATGTGCCAACAGAGCTCAATCATCTGTAATCAGGATGACATGTATTACTTGGTCCAGAAACATTCACAATATACTTACTTACCTTAGAGTTAAAGCCTGTAAACAACAAGGACAGTAACAATAATGATAATTATAAAGTTTTAATAATCATTCTAATATAATAATAACTGTAACGTAATAATAATCGTTCAATTACCTCATGAACAGTTAAATGCTCTTCTTGTTCAATAAAAATGTGCAATACCACTTTTGTTTACTTAATACTACCCTACATCTTATTCCATTCCTTGTAAATTCTATTCTATTCCATCTAAATACCATAACTTTAATAATTGTTATAATTTAACAATAACTATAATTTTTTTATATTCGTTCTAATTAAAAATTTAACAAAAACTATAATGTTCTAACAATCGTCCTAATTTAACAAAAACTGTAACGTTTTAATAAACGTTAAAATAAAAAACTATAATTTTCTAATGATCATTCTAATTTAACAATAACTGTAACGTTTTAATAATCGTTAAAATTTAACCAAAACTATAATGTTCTAACAATCACACTTTTGTTTACTTAATACTACCCTACATCTTATTCCATTCCTTGTAAATTCTATTCTATTCCATCTAAATACCATAACTTTAATAATTGTTATAATTTAACAATAACTATAATTTTTTTATATTCGTTCTAATTAAAAATTTAACAAAAACTATAATGTTCTAACAATCGTCCTAATTTAACAAAAACTGTAACGTTTTAATAA